CAATAACAATAACAATAACAATAACAATAACAATAACAATAACAATAACAATAACAATAACAATAACGTCTTAATTAATGGCGAGGCTCAGGCCATAGGGCGTGCTCTTCGTGGTTATGATGGCTGAGTGGCGCGCGGGCGCGGGCGTGTGCGCAGGCGGCGGCGGCGGGCGGCGGGCTGGGGGCGGCGCTGAAGGCGGCGGCGCAGGACGGGCGCGCGGGCGACGTGCAGCGTCTGCTGGACGCCGGCGCCGACGTGGACGCCGCCGACGCCTTCGGCCTGACGGCGCTGCAGTGGGCGGCGCGGCGCGGCCAGGCCGACGTGCTCGCGCTGCTCATCAAGCGCGGCGCTGACGTCCACACGAGGTATCTCCCCCCCCCCCCCACACACACACACACACTGACGTGTACTACAGAATCACACACGTCGGGAGCTTGCAGCCGGCCCCAGCTTGAGCTCTGTAGCTGTAGGAGACAGCTGTATGGCAAAACCTCAGGTCGATGATCTGGTTCTGATGTTGACACCAGGTGCCAGGCATACACGGTGAACCATGGTACTAGTTAACGTGGATCAGGGCATCAACTGACGTCACTTTATGATTGAATTCAATTGAATTGATGTCGCCGCGGTACCTCTGATCCGGTGGTCCCAGCGTTTGCGTTGCAAGAATTTGTAGCTCTGCTGGGAGATACCGATATGGGAAAACCTCAGGTCGATGTGCTGGTTCCGATGTTGACACCAGGTGCCAGAGATACACGGTGAACCAGGGGAGTAATGGTACTGGTTGACGTGGATTAGGGCATTAACTGACGTCACTTCATGATTGAATTGAATTGAATTGAATTGATGTCGCCGCAATCTCTCTGATCCGGTGGTTCCAGCGTTTGCGTTGCAAGATTTTTTAGCTCTGCTGGGAGGTACCTATATGAGAAAACCTCTGGTCGGTGTGCTGGTTCTGATGTGATCAATCTGCATACAAGGTCAGGCATACACTGTGAATCATTGTACTGGTTAACGTGGATCAGGGCATCAACTGACGTCACTTCATGATTGAATTGAATTGAACCGGTTGGTTCCAGGGTTTGCGTTGCATGATTTTTTAATCAGGTCTACGTCTAATTCTACCGGCCAGCTGCTCTGACCGGTAGTTTTTCGTCTTTCTCCGACCACACCAGGCGAATACGAGAGCAGTACCCTAACAAACAATCCACGAATGCACGCGATCGTTCATTTCCGTTCCTCGTCTTGTCACACGATCCTCACCTCTCCGCGCTTCTTACTTACAAAAACACACTTACAAGCACTACACAGCCACGTATGCCGGCAGACTAGCCCAGAGTTTAGAGCTGCTCCCGGCTTTGGCAGTGCCTTGCTGCTGGGAGATACCTGCTTGGGAAAACCACTTTTTAACCGACCGGTATTTCGGCACCTGATCTTACCACCCAGCGGGAAAAGATTCCTCTACGTCCCCGGAGAACCATGCACTACACTTACGGGACGAATGACCTTACAAGGTGACGCACCTGGAATCAGTCAACTTAATCGTCCAAATGGCGAAAAATGACAAAGACCTTTGGTGTGGGAGGGACTAGTACGGGTATAAAACATGCTTTACACTTACAGGACTAATGACCTTATAAGGTGACGCGCCTGGAATCAGTCAACGTAATCGTCCAAAGGGCGAAAAATGACAAAGACCTTGTGTGGCAGGGACTACTACGGGTATAAAACATGCTTTGCACTTACAGGACTAATGACCTTATAAGGTGACGCGCTTGGAATCAGTCAACTTAATCGTCCAAATGACAAAGACCTTTGGTTTGGCAGGGACTACTACGGGTATAAAACATGCTTTACACTTACAGGACTAATGACCATATAAGGTGACGCGCCTGGAATCAGTCAATTGAATCGTCCAAATGACAAAGACCTTTGGTGTGGCAGGGACTACTACGGGTATAAAACATGCTTTACACTTACAGGAAAGGCGCGTGGAATCAGTCAACTTAATCGTCCAAATGACAAAGACCTTTGGTGTGGCAGGGACTGCTACTGGTATAAAACATGCTTTACACTTACAGGACTAGCGCGTGGAATCAGTCCAAATGGCGAAAAATGACAAAGACCTTTGGTGTGGCAGGGACTTCTACGGGTGGACGCCGCTGCACATGGCCGCCAAGTCGGACCGCGGGCGCCTGTGCCTGCGGCTGCTGCTGGGCGCCGGCGCGGACCACAGCTGCCGCGACAGCAATGGGTGGACGCCCCTGCACTGGGCGGCCACGGAGGACAGCGAGGCGGCGGTGCAGGCGCTGCTGGCGGCCGGCGCCAGCCCCGCGGCCAGGGACAACTTCGGCATGCTGCCGCTGGACCTCGCGGGCTCCGAGGGCGTCCGCCGGCTGCTCAGGGTGTGACCCACACCACCTGCGGGCTCTGGCGCTGGAGGACGACCTAAATGGACTGGCAGTGGACAACGACCTGTTGGGACTGGCACTGGAGAACGACGTAAATAGACTGGCGCTGGACTACGACCTAAATGGACTGGCACTGGAAAGAGACAAATTGGGACTGGCACTGGAGAACGACCTAAATAGACTGGTGCTTGACAATGACCTAAATGTGCTGGCGCTGGAGGACGACCTCTACGGACTGGCACTGGAGAATGACCTTCATAGACTGGCGCTGGACAATGATCTAAATGGACTGGCACTGGAGAGTGACCTATATGGACTGGCACTGGAAGACCTATATGAACTAGGAATGGAGAATGATTTATTGGGACTGGCACTTGAGAATGACCTTTTGGGACTGGCACTGGAGAATGACCTAAATGGACAGGCAGTGGAGTTATATACTGGACTTAATAATGGGTGGACTGGTGTATGTACTGGACTTATATTGACTGGCACTGAAGAATGGCCTTCTGGAACTGGTACTGGAGAAAAATCTTTAGGGACTGGTGCTGGAGTATGACCTGTATAGACTGGAGAATATCCTGTAGGGACTGGCACTGGAGAATGACCTACAAGATCTAGCACTGGAGAATGACCTCTAGGGATTGGCACTGGCTATTCAGAATACTATACGCGCAAGTTTTCTTGATATTCCACAGTGAGGGGTGCGGGGAGAGGAGGGCTCTCGGTACGTCACGGCTTAAAAGGTCGTACCAACTGTGGGCAGTCGCCAAAGCGTGCCACGAGAAATGTTACGATTGTTTTGAAACTACGAGGTGATTGTTGCCAGCATTGTAAACTGATACGTGCCGTTCCGAGTCGAACCTAAGTATCTCAACGTGCCGTGCTATTCAGCGCTGGATGAGGACTAGGGATATAGTGTATCAAGAAACATTGCGCGAGTAATACATCGGGTGACCCAATGAGTGCTAGGGAATGTATAATATCTTTGGTTCACTATTATGGTAATTTGGTTCATTGTGACCTTTCTTCCATGAAACGAGAATGTAATTTTTTGGCGAACCTACCCGTCAAAAGATCGAAAGTCGATGTTTTTGAGACGGCATTCCGGATAACCATCTCTCGATTCTGTGACTTCAGCTGAGAGCACAGTTTCCTCGCGTGAAGACTACCTCCAGAGTTTATAAACTCTGTGACGCGTACGGTTCACTTTAATTTATGGGCGTCTCGTAGGTTTTCTCAAGGAATCGACTCACTTCCGCGACATGGCGAAAACACGGACCGGCGTACAGAGTTGGCAGAGTTGGTGGTAAAGAACATTTTAACCGGTTTTCGTCCACAAAATGTTGTGCGCACTGCGCTCTCCGATTCTCGTTGCGTCCGTAATCGCAGTCGTTGTTGGACCTCTCTATTAGCATGTTTTTGCACCTTGTAGCGCTAAACCATTGTTATGTTCCTAAATTTTACTTATAGCATCCCAAAGCGCCAAACGTTGGTTGTACGAACATTTTTTTATAAATAGCAAAACCTTTAGACCCTAGATGAATATGCCCCGCCCACTATGGTGCGTACCGACTACCGTTTGCTTTAGACCAGCTTTACGTTTCGACTTAACCACAAGCATACAGCAGACACATTCCTCTTGAACTTGATTGTTCCACTTTTTGTGCTCTAATGGATTAAAGTGCAGTTTACTCTCCATTCCTCTGTATGGGTACTGTATGACAAGGCTTGGGCCTTCGGCACACACCTTTATCTTATAACTTCATTCTGTGTAACGTGCTATTTGATTCCTTATACTTTAAAGACACAATTTATGCCTTCCTACGTGGGTCAAGTTGAGGACGAGGCTCCGGCCATAAACCCACGAGATTAAAATAAAACGTTCTTGAGTCTGTGCACTGTACTATTTTCGACGCATTTTACGCCAAGATACTTTTTTGCCTTTAGGAAGTTTACATTTTGTTATAAACAAAAGCACTAAACGAATTCAAGAAAAGTAAGTGGTGAGGAATTGCTTTTAAAATAGCTTGAAAATAATTATTTTGCAATTTCTTGGTGTGAACAAAGTTCACAAACACAGTGCGTACGCTACAAAAACAACCTCAAATTCAACAAAGACGTCATCCTGAGGGACGCAGAGCTAAGTATCGAGTTGTTGCAGGATGTCACCAGTAGTGCTGTTGTCAAATTGTAGGGTTGTTGAGAAAAATAGAAATGTTTCTTTCTTTGCATATATAATGAGATTAATTTCCATGGAAAACAAGATGCATATTGAGTTAGATAAAACATGTACATTGACTAAAGAACTGTAGAGAAGCTTTGTCAAGACTCCAAACCAGAAGAAAGATTGCACGAAGGATTTACAATGGTGCCAGAAACTATTAACAAAAACAACTTTGTACAAAATAATGATAAAGCAAAAACATCAATTACCTCCATTTTTGTTAGGAATATCATACATATTATAGTACATTTGAATAGTTATTTGAGTATATACAAATAAAGACTATACAGATGTTTAACGTGAGGGTTATGATTATTTTAACCGAAACTGAAATAATAAGTTGTAGTAACTTTCTAAATTGTAAATGATTTGTAAAATATTTGATTTCATTGCTAAGTAAGATATAGAAAACTATACTGTGATGTAAACTTAATGTAAAATTGTAGGTATATAAGTTAATTATAATTTTTATTGCTATGCATCATTTCGGCTCTTCCTTTTCTCTCTCACTTTCCTCACTTTTCTTTTATTTCTTATTTTTAACCATGTTTATTCGTTTTTTCGTCTTTATTAAATAATATTTTCTACGTATTTAACTTTTTAGAATCATGATAATTTTCTACTTCAAGTCGCAGCGTGAATTATTTTCAGTATTTTTAGGCGTTTGTTGCTGTTTGTATAATGACTATTACATACCACTCCTGCTTGGGAAATCCTCAGATAAATCCCCTCTTTGCTTCGTAATTCGGGTATCTATCGACAATTTCCGAAGCAAAGGTATTACCCATGGTAATATGTTTTCTTTTAACTCGACCGATGGCACTTACTATGAAAATACAGTATCCAATGCATCCAAATTCACTGCAATAACCCGCTCATTTTTGACGAGTTCTCATTTTGCCAGATTCTAGATGAACTATTGTTGGTTTCCGAATTGCTTAACCATGTTTGGTGAAGTGACGGAGGTTAAGCAACTCCGGACACCGCTAGTTACTTGGTGGGTAACCGTCTGGGAATCACGGAGATGTAACGCGCCGAGGCCCTAGCCGAAGTGGTCAAAAAAGACGATGACTAAACTCGGATGTGTACGCTTCCGCGGCTCGAATCCATGAATTCTCGGCTGTCCGGGAGACGCCACGTCGTTGGCTGGGGTGCCGACGTTTTGCCTGACATGTCGCAGGCATCCTCAGGGCAGTGACTGCAGACTTCCTCACTGCCCTGAGGAAGCCTGCGAAATGTCGGGCGAAACGTCGGCACCCCAGCCAACGACGCGGCGTCTCCCGGATAGCCGAGAATTGATGACTAAGCTCAACGGATAATTATTCCACATTCCCCGCCAATAACATGTTTTAACACTGTCCTATTTATATGACAGTGCACATTGCATTTATTGCTCCTAATTTTGTTCATTTTTCATCCATTGTCAGTGTACATTGTTTTTAACTATTTGATCTTCGGAATTAATTATAATTTATTGAATATTATTAGCACACTTAATGAATAATTATTTTTGAATTTTCCGTTTTTTCTTACCCAAGTTACGCTTTTATACAACTCAACGAATTATATCATTCAAATGATGAATTTAGTATCAATTTGTCTAAGTTTTTGAATATGTTTCTTCATTTATTTCATCTGAGCAAAATTATGACAGAAGTAAAAAGCAGTATCAACGGCGGCGACAACTTGAAAACATTTCTAACAATTTTTTTGCTTTTTATTTGGATTAGGAAATACAAACGAGAGCCAGACATATTGAGATCAGAGATAGGTATCTATTTCTATAAGCAAGTTTCGAGTTAATTCGCGGAAAGCCAGCACAATAAACGTTGATGTGCTAAGAGAAAAGTGACAGAACAATCGTATGAACGTGATGTTCGCACCACCAGCAGTGAAAACCACTAAAATCATTATTATTCGTTTGTATCCATTTGTTCTACCATAACATTTATTTGTACCAGACAACTTACAAGTTAGAGCACTTTCAATTATGGTGGTACCAATTACACATGGACACCGCCACCTTCGTAAGAAAATTTGGAATCATTCTAAATCGTTTGTACCGAACTGTTGCACCAGAATTTTCGTTTGTACTAAAGCAATTAATTTGAATACAGCCATTACAATGTGGCAGTGATGGACATTAGACTCGTAACTTAGGATGGCACCTAAGTTCACCTTTGTTCATCTAGGTATTTTACCATTACCTTGTTTCTTCATATATGAATCAGTGTTTTTTGTCAAAAATGACTTACTTGGACTGGAATATGTTTTCAGCAAACGCCGTTGTCTATAACTATAACACTCGAAGTAGTAATCATATTTATCAGGTGACAGTTTCAACAACTCACTACAAAAAAATTCACATACAATACATGTACTTTTACAACTCCTTGCCAGATGACATTAAACGATTAAAATCGATACAAAAGTTTAAGTCCCAAGTAAAATCTTTTCTGCTGCACAACTGTTTCTATACAATTAAAAACTATACTGAGCATCCAAAAGGAAAGTAACATTAATTTTAGCAATGACCTTTAATGTATTTACTTGGCTGTCCGGGTGACGCCGCGTCCATGGCGAAGGTGCCGACGTTTCGGTCGCCATTCTGCGACCTTCCTCAGGGCGTAATGTTTAAGAATGTGACCAACTACGGGCCACGAGAAAAATTGAATGAATGATGTGAAAAATAATTTAATTTTAATTATATTTTCCTACTGAAAATATCAATATTAAATATATTTTTCGTTTCTCATTTTATTCCATTCTATTCAGTGTATATTCTCAATGTATTGATGTATTTCTCTTTACGCAATCTGCAAAGCTTAGAAGAAATTTCACAATGCCGCATCGATATTTGTGAAACTCTTGAGTAGCATTTGTTTTGTTTATATCATCTTATCTCTCTTCCGAGACACCATGGACACTCTGTTGAAAAGCAAGAGTGTTCTTTCTATCTGAAGTGTGGATGTTAGAAGTCGGTGATAAAATGCAATGCTATCGAAACTGTTATCATACGACCAAAGGCAACTCACCATTGAGCAACCAGAATTCTCGTAATTATTTTGATGTTTGTTGCGTACATTCTAATTACTGTATTGATTTTATTATCCAAGGGAATGCACATTGTTGTGACAACGCTGCGATAGCAACAGTGCATTGCTCGCTTGGTTCAATTCGATGTTTTGAAATAATGGCTGAGGCGATAGTAGTCCAGAAAATTCAATATTCCAATATACCGTAGCTGTTTCCAGCAGCGCGAAAAAGTATGTGCTGTTTACCACTGCTAGTTTACTTAATCACAATTCGTCAGAAAAGAAAATTGGATTTGT